CAGGCTGGCCTTGAAGTCACAGAGCTCCTCCTGCCTCTGCTGCTGGGAACAAAGGTGTGCATCACCACCTGTGGGGGTGTGTATTATTTTAAGCACTATCGAAAACAGTTCTCTTTTTTTTTGTTATCTCCACAAGCTAGCATTTTCAGTGTTCACATACACACAAAACTTGCTGCCAAGCTTGATAACCTGACTTGGGTCCCCAGAACCCACACAGTAGAAAGAGAGAGAGAATTCCTGCAAGTTGTTTTCTGACCTCCACACTCTCATGTCATGGTATACATGCCCCTCTCCTAAATAAAAATGTAAAAAAAAAGTTAAAAGAATGTTGATTGAATACACACACACACACACACACACACACACACACACACACACACACACACGAGGGCTTGGGGTGAGGGGGAGAAATGGGAGGGCAGGAGGAGTTGAGTTCACTGTTTCCAGCTTCTTATTTCATTATAAAAATAACCCAAGGGCTAAGGGTGTAGCTCCATGGTAGAGTGCTTGCCTTCGGTTCACGTAAGCATTAGTTATCAACTTGACATACCTGGAAAGACCGGAACCTAAGTTGAGATTGGCCTGTGGGCGTGTGTGCGGGGGATGCTTTCTCCTAATGGCTAACTGATGTAGGAGGGTCCCAGCCCACTCTGTGCAGTGCCATCTCTGGGCAGGTGGGTCTGGGCTGTATGAGAAACACAGCTGAGCAAACCAAGGAGGGTCCCGCTTTCAGTTTCTGCTTCCCTTGAGAATGGACTGGAACCTGTAAGCCAAATAAATGCTTTCCTTCCTCAAGTTGCTTTTGGTCAGTGTTTTATCACAGCAACAGAGAAGCAAAGAACACCCAGCTTGTGTGAAGTTCCACCCCAAGCCCTGACTTTAAAAAAACGAGTCAAAACACAATGAGCTGTGCAAGAATAAAAATTATGATTGACTGGCTTATATACACCTGAGAACAATGACTAGATGAATAAAGTCGAGGAGAGTGAAATAAAATAATAAAAAAGAAACAAATGAGAATAATTTCAAGGAAAAAGAAAATGGCAATCTAATTAAATATTTGAAATATAATAGATGGTCTAATTAAACATTCGAAACATTATTATTAGGCTGTGCCCTGCTCTACGTTACTCCATATTGTGTAAAACTGGCATTTCAGGCTGTGTCTTACTCTGGGAGACCCCACTTCGCAAGCAGCTTTTGATTCCATTTTGAGGATGGAGGATGACTTTTAGCACGAGTGGACACGTGAGCCATGTCATCTGTTCAGTACCACCCTCACAGCACAGACTGATACACGGCTGCCTCTGGTTTCAGAGGCTTCAGCCATGTTCTGTCTCCACCGCTGACATGACCTTCTTAAACTGCCGCCTGCTCGTCTTCCTGTTTTCCTGTTTGGATCTAGTTTTGCCCTTTGACCTCCACAGCTGGACTCAGGCCTGTAGCTCAACTCTCACCCTGTATCCGGACTCCAGCTTCTTCCTGGACTTTGTTTGGTTCCTTATCGTATCAACACAGACTCTGCATCTCTTACGCACCCCTGCTTTCTGGCTTCTGAAAACTCTTGAACTGACGGCGCCTTTGAACCCGTTCCCGTCATTCTGTGACATACATGTATATCGCCACACACATATCAGATATATTTACTATGTGTGATAGGAGAGGTAATATTAGCAATTAAGATTGAAATAAAAGAACAAATATTTGCCTTGACCAGGGTTATCAAGGGTAGCAGAAGTATCTAGCAGGTTGCAGTCAATGAAACAGCCACATTCTGTGAATTTATTGTTAGTTAACAAATTCTGACAGATGTGTTTGTCTGTGTTTCTGACGTAGCAAGCTCATGACAAAAACCCAATGAATCTTTAAATAACTTAATAGATTTATTCAGATGGTGATTTTTAAGGTCAGTAGTATTTCTATAAAATGAGCATAATTTATAAACTTAATAAAAATTTATCAGAAGATACCATTTACAAAGAAAATATACAGAGAAAGAAATCTGCCAAAAAAGAGCAAGGAAAATTTTAGTGTAGGGTCCAGAGAGGTGTCTCAGTGTGTAAAGGCACCTGCCACCAAGCCTGATGACCTGACTTTGATCCCCAGAACCCACATGATGGAAGGAGAGAACTGACTCCTGCAAGTTGTCCTCTGACCTTAATGCACACACACGCTACATAACTAAATGTCATTTTAAGGACATTTAGGGAGTTTAGGGACTAGAGAAATGCCTCAGCAGTTAAGAGCACTTGCTGCTCTTGCAGAGGACCCAGCACACACATGGTGGTTCAGTTCCCAGCACCCACATGGTGGTTTACAACCATCCATAACCCCAGTTCTAGGGGATCCAATGATCTCTTCTGACCTTCACAGGCACCAGGCACGCACATGCTGCGCATATATACGTGTAGGCAAAACACTCAGATATATAAGATACTCATCTTTTAATATTTTTTTGAAATATGGGTGTTTAAAGGAAGACACTGAAGGATGAGCAAATGAAGAGAGATACCACATTCATGAATTGTAAGGCTCAGCATGATAAAGAAGCCAGATCTACCCAAACTGATGTACAAATTCCACTTGATGCCCTCCAAAAATTCTAATAGTTTTCCCTCTTGGTGTTTGTTTGCTAGTGATAGCCCGATTCTACAATATGTATGGAGGTACCAGTCATACCAGTTCAGCAGTTTCTGAGGGAACAAGATGAAGAGATTTGCATAAAGCAGGAAGGCCACAGCATGAAGACACTGTGGCATTGCTCTAAGAGAGATGAGTAAACCACTGAGGCAGACTGGCACAGGCAGGGACGGGCCTGTGTATGTGGCCAGAGACCATGTGGCAAAGGCGACCACACAAGTGGAGAGGATTTCCAGAGGGCTTTGTTGGGAAATCTATTTGACCTTGCCTCATGCTAACAATGATCCAATTCTAGGAGATGCATTACTAGCAGATACTCCTGGGTTACTGTTATGATCTTGAGTCCTTCATCAACAAACCAAAAAAAAAAAAAAAATCACCAAATTTAGAGATGTTGGTTAAATTGATTGTATTACAGTTAAGATGTTTTTACACAAAAAGAAAATACCACAAAGGGGTGAAAAGACAAGTTATAGTGTAGGAAATATTTGCAACAAAAAACAATGGAAAAAAGGGGAGTCTCTAACAGAAACTATGACAAGTAAGAGGGAGTGGGACCCGGGATTCTTTGGATGCAAATCCAGAACTTTCCAGAAAAAAACCAAAGTGGTTGCTAAACATGTGGCGATTGCTAATTTTCATTTCACTGTCCAGTGGAAACATACAAGAAGCCCACTAACACTTTACAAGAGGAAAGAGCAGCCGTGACAGCAGCAACACCCACCTGTGGGGTGCTGGCCAGAGTGCGAATCAGCACAGTCTACACCTGCAATGTGGTGAGATGGGGTGAAGCACCCCCCCCCAGATTTATGTCCACCCAGAACCTTTCTTGTCTGGAAATAGAGTCTCTGCTGATGTCATCACTGAGTGACGTCATGCTGAAGCGTGGTGGGAGTCTAACACGACGATGGCTCTCCTTCTCGGAGGGAGTCCTAAGCAGACCCGTGGGAGGAATAGGCCTGTGTCAAGACTGACACAGGATGTGGTCACCAGTCACCAGAGATCACTGGCGGACCCTGGGAACTGCAGGAGGGGAAACCCTCTCTAGAATCCTCAGAATCATGGTCTTGCTGACCTGACTTTTAGGGAGACATCTTCTAGTACCAGTGTGTGGTTCACCGTGGCAGACCCTCTACCGCTTGTTAGATAGAGCTAATTTTTTTTCTGTTGACATTTCTCCACAGAAAGAGGTCTCTAGGTGTGTATAGCCAGATGGTTCCTAGAGATACTTTTACATAGTTACCCATATGGGACGGCCAGGTATAGATAGGCATGGGAGCTGACACACATGCTCTTCCCATCCAGAGCCTCTACAGGCAGCACACACTTGTGCCCAGCAAGGGCCAAGCACCTGCCACATATCACATTCGCCATCCTTGGCATTAGGGTATAGTTGCAAAGGTGGCCCCCAAAAGCCAGTGCTCCAAACCTTCCCATCCAGGGACACAGACGGCAGGCGGGCAAGGAGAGCTATGGCGAGGACCAGGCAGCTGGGAGGTAGTGAGAGAGGTGGACTAACTAGGCAGAGGGATACAGCATGGGGTCCGAGCATACGTCAACAGAGAAAGGTGGGGGCCCGGCCTGACACGCTCTGAGCCAGTGCCAGATAACAGGCGGCACGTGAAGCGCCGGGTGCAGACACGGCCAGCCATCTCACCCTGGACTGCAACTATGTCAGCCCTATCAGAGTCTTCAGGAAATCGTGTGCAAGAGCCCAGCAATCCCCCCCCCACCTTGCCTATCCATGCCACTTGACGATGTCTGACACTATAACCCATCCCCAGATCTCTGCCTCCACCTTAGAGGAAGCAAGTACTAAATACTACTCAGGGGATCCCACTGGGACTGTTGCAAAAGGACCCCACTATGATGCTCCCCTTGGCCAGCACTATACCAGAAACCTGAGCGCCTGAACAAGTCAGTGCCCCCCCACCCCCCATATCCCACCCCCACCCCCCACCCCCACTTGTGAGCTCAGGCTGAAGATCCTCTCAGGGGACACCCCTCATCCAACCCTGTGTCCTGTTCTGGAGAATGCAGCTCGAAGGTCTTCTTTGAGGATTGGGATGGAGCCAGAATCCCTCAAATATGATGGGGCGACAAGGCACAGGCTCCCCACGGTTACCTGATGCTCTGGGTGGTGGAGACTGGGGCTTCCCCATGGTTTTCGTATTCTGCAGCACCGGGGCAGTTGTTAAGTTTGGATCCGAGTGTTTAGTGGATTGGGCTCTGGTAAAAACGCTTTTGGGGGCCTTACTGTCTCCATCTTGATAGTTACTAACCGAGAACGCATAAGTGGGCTTTGCTTGACCTCTGCCCTCAGCAGCCATTACTGGTACAGACCAGGTGGCTGAAAGTACCTTCGCTTCTTCCCGTTTCCAGTCCTGCCGAGGGCTCATTCGGGAGGGTCCGATTGCTGCATCCAGTAGGGCCCGGGGGCTGCGCACTTTGAGCGTGGTATCTAAGAACGAGTCTGTGAAGCTGAGGTTGGTGATGGGAGGCATTTGCTTCTTGGGTTTCTTCACACTGGTCCCTTCCACGCAGAGGTCAGACCCATTGAACGGTGGCAGCTCCACGGCAGGCTGTGAGAAGAGGCAGCAGAGGTCAGGATCCCTCCCTGACTCAGAGAGTCACCTGGCTGACCCCACACCGAGCCACCCGCCATGCCTCGGAAGCTTTGGCTGTTTCTTCTTCAAGGCTCGGGTGCTCGCTGGGCCCTTCCTCCAGGTCTTGGGGCTCAGCCCACAGGGCAGGCAGGAATCCAGAGGCAAAAGGCTCAGCGTTGGTGCGGAGCCTGCTCGACCATCCCCAAAGGGAGGCCACTCGAGAGATTTCAGAAACAGAACAGGGGGCTCTGGAGAGAAAGAATCTAAAAGGGGCTGTGGTACCTCCCCAGATACTCAGGCACGGGCCTCTCCCATTACCCATATGGTTGGTTGGGACATGGAAAAATGACAGGTAGGACGACTAGATTGTGAAGGCCACAGGGCCTAAGTGACAAGGCTGACAAGACCCCATGTCTAGAGTAAACCTTTGCCTTGATGCACACAGGAGGCTGAGTTTGGGGCAGATCAGGCAGATCTACATTGCCCACACCCAAGAAACAGGATTTGTGTCCCCGACTGCCTGGGGATGAGGTGGCTGACACACAGAAGCCCAGGCCCACCCACCTCGTGGACAGATACTAGCAGCCAAGGCAGGGTAGCGCCTATCCTCCTCACCTGCCTCCACAGAAGTTCAAAGTTGCCAATGTCACAGTTCCGGTCCAGTTTGCGGTCCACCACAACCTTGATGGTATCTTCCTGCACCTGGGCACAGAGCTGGGCCGTGACGGGAGTGGAGGGGTGCATGGTGGGGCTGGAGTTGATCTCTATGAGCCAGGGCTTGAAGTCTCGCCCCAGGATGAAGTCGGCCCCATAGAGCTCGAAGCTGTTCTTACGGGCTTCGACGTGGTCCTGAGCCACCCTCATGGCATTGGTGACGGCTTTTTTCATAGATGGATAGATGATGGTGCCCCATGTTGTCCCTCGACCCCTCTTCTGCAGGTACTCCTGGAAGCGGGTGCTGGTCCACATGTTATGGCCAGGGAGCAGCGGGCTGCGCTCCTTGTCATTCTTGAGGCGCCTCTGAATGGAGTTGTTACACAGGTGGATGGCACTGTGGGCAATGTGCGCGTGAGACTGGTGCATGCCCACAACCATAACACGGAGCCAGCACTCTCTGCCCAGCTTGCCCTGACGTCACTTTGCCTGGTGCAGGGTTGCTGCAGAAGGTGTGGGCTAGTGGTTTGGACTGTTAGCTCTGCTACCCAGAAGCAGCCACGGACCCCTCAACCAGCCTGGAGGAACAGCACAGACTGTACCAAGACATAGCAGAAGCCCACCAATGCAGAACCAACCACTAGGAAAAATAATCTGCCTAAGTCTCGGTTTCCCCACAGGCACATGTCAGTAGGAGCATGGGAGCCACCTACCTAAAGTTTCCAGTGAGTTACTTTACACTTCTGCCTTGCTCTGTACGGACTTCAAACAAGGAGTCCTTTTTAGAAGACGGTAGGACACTGTTTGGAGCTAAGGGTATTTTCATTTGAACTGCAGGTATAAGGCAGGCAGTTCCAGAGTGAGGCCTGCCCCACAGCCACATGTAAGAAAGGTGAATATTTAGAAGACACAACCACCCATCTACTTCTTTGACTTCTGTTTGTATAGCTGGGCTATACCCACTCAGATACCATTTCTGGGAATCTCGCATCAGCTGAAGGAGGGTGCACGATATTACCACGCACAGGGTTGATGGTTCAGCTGAGCCCCTGGGAAGAGGCTGCCTGCAGGTCCCAGACTCCATTTTTGGTGGGTTTCTAGACTCTCTGCTATAGGCTTTTGTCCAGAGGTAACGCAAAAATAGGGGTGGTTGCCTTCAGCTATGCCCAGCCCCATCCCAGCTGTGACCTAGCAGGTGTGACTCCAGGTGTGCTGGGGGTAACGTTCACTCAGTTTCTATTGAGCAACCCTCAGCCTCCCAGGAGCCCATCTGACTCTCCCTTTCAAAGTCCCCTAGGGTGTCCAGGTCCCCAGCGCTGCCTGCCAAGTGACAATCACTAAATCACTGAGAAAAAGTCCTGGGTCATCCCTGAGGATGCAGGTAAGTTCTCACTGGAATATGGTTTGTTAATCCCCAGCACCCCTGAGTGTTTGAGCCTGGTAGCCCCAATGCCCTGATGCTTTGGCAGTGATGGGCAACCCTGAGGGTTCAGAGGGGCGAACAGCAAGGGTGCCTCATCTACACATACCCAAGGGCCTCCTGCGAGGTGCTTAGAGGAATACGGAGCTCCCCCTGCTGACCTGTCCAGCTTGTCCAGGGAGAAGCGCTGTGTGGAGAAACGGAGGTAGCTCTCCTTGTAGAACCAGATGGTGAGGGGATTCCAGTCTGTGACGAGGAACCACTGTCGGATGTCGAACTTGGTGTCGTAGATGAGCATCGGCGTCTCGATGTACTTCTGGACCACCCATTTGTTGTCCTTTGTGGCCTGGTTGTCTGTGGCCACCAGCTCCAGGATGTTCTCCACACGGTCCATGCACACAATATCTCCAAGAACAAGAGGGGGGTACCCTTGACCCAGGGCAGCACAGCCCCCCACCCCCCCTGCAGTCATAAAAGGCCCCAGTACCCACCCTGGCTTTGGCCCAGCACCAAGAGTTTGCAGGGATGGTTGGGCAGGGCAGATGTACATTCAGTGGACAAAGCTACAGTTGGTGCCAACCACTTGTTCAGACCTCCCGCCATGGGTCCAACCCCACACCCCAGAGGGCATTCAGAGATCGAGGGAAAAACAGAACAGAGAGGCACTCAAGAGCATGCTTTAGGGTTTGGTGTGTCCTCAGAGCAGCGCCCCTGGAGACCAGTGAGGGCTAATGCAAAAGAGGCGATCCACCAAATGGGATCAGCTGGGCACAGACAGGAGGCATTTAATTTCTCCCCATTGGCTTTCCTTTCCTCACAGGCAGACTCTACAATTTCCCACCTTTGGCCCTAAAGTAGGCTGCATGACTTGTAGGGTATGCAAGAAGGAGTGATGTGTGTCACTGTAAGCTCTGTAGGGTTTAATGCCAGTGACAGACCTTGCGGCTCTCTTTTCTCTGCCATGACAATGCCGGATAAGAACGAGGCCACAAGACAGACAGAGCACCCTTGACCAGGTCAAGGAACACAAGTTTCTGCCGAAATTTGGGGGGGATGTTACACAGTACTATCTGGCCATCAATTCTGTTGATAAAAGGTAGAGGGGCTTGCATCCACAGGGTCCCACAGGCACAAGGTAAGTTCTCACAATGCACATGGTTTCCATTGATTTGGTCAAGGCAAGTTGAGATCTTGCCTAAAATGAAACAAACTGCTGAGGTCGGCTTGGACCTACACCCAAGGGCCACCAGTGGTTGGCAAGAGCAAAAGCAGTGAGCAGCAGAGGGAAGGGCATTTATTGAGAACAGCGCATCTGAACAACCCACAGATTATCCCTGGGGATGGAGTCAGTCTCCAGTGGGAGGATGGTATGGCTTGATGGGTGAGAGGAGACAGAGATTTTCTTAGGACACGAAGGGAGCTTAGCACAGAGACCAAGAAGGAACACAGCACATCTGCCAGTCAAGGCCACGTCACAGGAGCACGAAGGAAGACCTGACCATCTGCAGGACACCAGAAGGAAGTGGACCACATACACCCAGGAAAGAGAATAATTCAGGACAGAAGACCTTTAGGATTAGATTAATAAGAAAAATTTAAAGATCACATACATAGGGCTGGATATAGGAGCACTTATTGCTCTAATAGAGGACCTGGGTTCGGTTCCAAGCACTCACACGGGGCTCATGACCATTCGTAACTCCAGGGGTTCTGATAACTTCTTCTGGCCTCCACAGGCACCAGACACACACGGCACACATATGTACATGCAAGAAAAACACCCATACACATAAATAAATCTGATTTTTTAAAAAAGGAAATCATATACATGCCAGGTGGTGGTGGTGCACACCTTTAATCCCAGCACTCGGGAGGCAGAGCCAGGCAGATCTCTGTGAGTTCAAGGCCAACCTGGTCAACAGAGCAAGATCCTGGACAGGCACCAAAACTACACAGAGAAACCCTGTCTCGAAAAACAAAACAAAACAAAAAATCACATACATAACCTGCAAACTAAAAAACTTCAGAAGATCTCAAGAGAGTAACAGGATATGCAAACTAAAAAGTCTGTTTAAATACCACAGAGAAATAGGACATTCTGTAACAGAGACAAAAGGATGCAGCTAATGCCACAGACTGAGGGAACTTCGTAGCCTTAAGTCTTCTATTATTTCACAGGAAAACCTGGAAATAAATCAACTTAGCTTTTAAGTCAGAGACAAGAGAAAAATCTCTCACAGGAAAATTGAAAACTGAACCATTGACTTTGGAAATGCAAGATAAGGAAATCACACACATGCACACAAACATGCACACACCATCACACGCATGTATTCGTGTATGTACACACACACACACACACACACACACACACACACACACACGGAAAGGCACAAAGCTACACAGAGAAACACTGTCATAAAAAAAGAAAGAAAGAAAGAAAAAAAAGAAAGAAAGAGAAAGAAGGAAAGAAAGAAAAAAGAGAATGTAATTCCATCTGCAATTTGGGTAGATGAGGCAGAAAGTGTGAACAGGTGAATAGCCCACAGGCAAATTTCATGAGGTGTTCCAAATTTGCCTTTAAGGGTTCTAGGTTCTACAGGTGAACTTTACAGTGGGCCCATGGGATGTGAAGCACACTGCTTGGGATGATGGTCCACCTTCTTAAAGGCCAGAATAAACCTATTGCTAAGATCAAGGTAACACACGCACACCCATACACACACACACACCAAACAAACACCCCCCCCCCCAAGAAAACAATACTCTGGGATTGTTAACTGATGGATACAAATGAGGAAACCTGAGCTAACTCAGCAAACTCCAGGACAGGACTATGATGAACACTTCCTCCTCCAGCACAGCTTGGGCACCCCTGTCTGACCCTGGCAGCACTCCTTGAATCTCCCTCCATCATAGAGCAGGTGCTGTCAAGGTTGGAGACTTGCATGATGGAGAGGCATCTGCCCAGGGAACTCACCTCGACCTCGGGACTTTGCTGCAGGCTTTATGATCCAGATGTTCCGAATCCCGTCGATCTCTGTCTGAGGGTTCACAGAACTGATCTTACTCAACAGAGTCTGGCACTGTGAAAAGTAACTTCTTGAATCAGGGATGAAGGCATTGCCACTAAAAAGCAAGATCCAGAAAGGGCATGAGGCTCTGAGAGACAGTGGCCAGCCCCAGTGATTGGTGGGTGCCTCTGCTCTAGGACAGGTTGATGGCTATCTGACAAGGGTTAGGGGCGGCAGAGGATGTCTACCAACTGAGGATACCACCTGGGGTCACGGGCCTTAGAGGCTTGTACCTGGGCAGGGTGTGTCAAGAAGTCAGGACCCTAGCTGGGCATGGTGGTGCATGCCTCTAAGCCCAGTGCTAGAGGCAGAGGCAGAGGCAGAGGCAGAGGCAGGAGGATCTTTGTGAGTTCTAGGCCTGCATGTTTTACAGAGCAAGTTCAAGGACATTCAAGGTTACATAACAGAGAGACCCTGTCTCAATAAAGGAAGGAAGGAAAAGAAAGAAAGGAAGAGAGAGAGAGAAAGAGAGAGAGAGAGAGAGAGAGAGAGAAGAGAAGAAAAGAAAAGAAAAGAAAAGAGAAGAAAAGAAAAGAAAGAAAAAAGAACCCTGACACATGGACCTGTACTGCCTGTACAGACAAGGACACCAATCCTATACCAAAGGAAAACCAGAGATGGGTGGGTCCCTGTGCCAAGACATTGCCTTCACTGTTGTTGCCAGAAAGGTCCTTATAAAGGAAGCCAAACTGCCATGCAGACTTACCTGTGCCACAGTAGCAGCCAGCTTATGGTCCTGTGACCTGGACTGTCAACCTAATCCCATGCCCTTGTTGGTGACTTCAGACTCGTAGGAAAAGGCCTGGCTCAGAAAGCCATCATAATCTCAGGGAGCAAGGACAGGGATCAGGAGAGATGTCTGAGCAGCTTTCAGAATTTGAGGGCACACTACTGGCACCTGGGAGAGAAACAGCCACCACAACACCCACAGCCCCTCTCAGGTTCTGTGGGAGGCTCCTTATGTGGGCAGACCCAGGCACAGTGAGGAATGCTCAGTGCAGGCTCCCTGCATACTGTCCCATGACTGCTGCTGAGCCACAATTCTGGCTGCAGCCCTAGAGTAAGGGTTGGGGACAAGAGACACATATACTCTGTCCACCTGCTAGGGAAAGAGGGCGGCGTCTAGGAAAAAGTGAATAATGGAAATCCCTCGAGTGTGGGTTGGAGTTAAGAGAACAAGAGTCCTACTGGTGTCATTTTCCACCCCTGGGTGCAGGGAACAGATTGGCATGTGATGAAGTGGTCATGCCCTCGCTGGCCAGATACCAAGCAGAGCCCACTCCCCTGCTCTACTGGATGTGGACTTCCTCTGCAGATGTTACGCGTTGACCAACTCCATAATGATAGGACAGCTCTGCCATAATCAGTACGTGGTGCAAACCGGTACAGACAACCCCCAGTGTCCCTATAACAGCATCTGGTCCAAAAGCACAGGTCAGACTAGTGTGATGGTATTGTCAGATGGATGCTTTCACCACCGTGGATCAGAAAGACAGTGCTTTGCTGTTGAGTGGGAAGGAACTCCCTATGACGTCTGAGGGCACTGGAGCCCGGGCCCTGGAAGTCACCCCTGAGGGTGAGTCAGCACTGGACTCATGTGAGACCCTGCCATGTTACCCACATTATGTCACCCCTGTCACATAATGAGAGGATGTAAAAGTTAGGAGATCGCCGAGAACAGAGCAGGAGACTGGCCTGTTTGAAAAATGCTCAGATTCTGGACATATTCATGCTGACCGAAAAACAGACAGGGTCCCTGCAGGCCCTGTGAAGTGTAGCCGACTCGGCCTTCTGGGTCCTGACACATGAACACTCATGTGGGAACCTGTCAGTCTTAACAAGGACCATCCCCGCTTCCTTCCCCCTCCCCCACCCCCACCCCCGGGCTCTGAGCGGGCTATAGTGCATATAAGGAAGGGGACAGTCACTGCAAAGCACCAGAGAACCTGCTCACCTGACAGGGTCACTCCACACCACACAGGAACCCAATGCTGCCACCCAGTGGTGAAGCCTCGGGTTCTTTTTTTGTAGAGGTTTAAGAAAATGTGGCCGAGTATAGAGTATAGAAAGCCCTAACAGAAAAGGCGAAGTTTGATCATTTTTGCTCATTCGAGATACATACAGCATGGGCTGCTCAGAAAGTTCTCCAGTATTACGTCCCAGTCGACGGTAGCTGATTATCATTCTCTCTTTCTACCACGGGGACGGGCTCTGCCTTTCTTGAGCTTCACACCCATGGTCAGGGACAGGGGACCTACACTCTCTCTCTTTCTCTGCAACCCCCCCCCCCCACATCCCCTCCCTCTCCCGAGGGGTGTCTTTTAGCCTCACAACTGGGAGATTGGTCCACAGCTATGCCATTTGCAGCCCCTGCTCTGACATGACTAGGTCTGCCAGGGCTGGGCTGACTGAGTCTTTCTGAGGCTGGGTGCTTCCATTTTTCCAGGGATGGAAGAGCTGCATCAAAGGTCATATAATTCTTGCTTTTCCAAAATGCTTTGCTTGGCATTCACACCAGCTCTGCATTAGAGCTGCTGACTTAGGCCAACACTTGGTGGTTCAAGTCTTTAATCCGGCCGTTCTGGTGTGCAGAGGTGTCCCACCATGGGTGTTTTTTGTTGCTTCTTTTTCCTTTTTCAGCTTTTGAGACAGTCTTGTATATAGCACAGGCCAGCTTTGAGTTCAAGGTCCTTCTGGAATGATAGGAGCTACTACCAAGAGTTTACTGTTGTTCTGATAAGCTCTGATACTGGGCACCTATCTAGTCTGATTAGACAGCTGAGTTTGTCTTTCATGAAGTGTCTGTTCCTTTTTTTTTTTTTTTTCTTCTTGAGACAGGGTCTCATGGAGCCCAGGGTAGCTTTGAACTTGCTGTGAAACTGAGGATGACCTTGAACTTCTGATCCTCCCACTACTACCCCCTGAGTGCTTGGGGCTACAGGCACGGGCCACCACTTTCAGTGTCTGTGGTGCTGGAGATGGAACTCAGGGCTGCACATTGGATAGAGAAGCGCTCCACCAACGGAGCATTTCGTTTGGTTAATTTCTCTTCTCTCACTTATCGTAGCTACCTCAGTAGCTTCTAAATGGGACCCTCCGTTGGATGTGTGGACAGTGGGTCTGTCTCTAGTTTGCAGCTTCTGCTTCCATCCTCTTTCCAATGTTTTTTGAGAAACACAGTTCTTAAGCCAACGCAGAGCATTTTATCAACTGTTTTCCTGTTAATTGTTAGTGTCTAATAAATACAAAGATACAGCCAGCTTGATTAGGAAGGAACTATGTCTAGAACAGCTCATATGGGGGAGAATGAGGATAACTCCTGAAAAGGAGAGTAAACAGAGCATGCGCCTGCTTGGATGGATTGAGTCGTGAACGTGCACTAGTGTTGGTTAGAGAGACCAATGGCACACAGCACATAGCCAGGAACAGACACATATATCAGGAGGACTCTCCTGACAACCATGAAGAAAAAGATCAGGTAACAGACACATGGGACACAGTGTAACACACATGCACTTGGGAGTCCCCGGAAGAGAAGACAGAGCGAATGAGGCAGAAGCAACAGACATAGAAATAATGATCAGAGTCTGAATTTGGGGAAAAAATGTCAACCCATGGTTAACAGATGCCGCACAAACTCGAACAAGGATAAATACAAAGAAAAGCATTCCTACAATAATAACAAATATTTCTTATTGAAACTACTAAAACCAAAGACAAAAATCTTTAGGCAGCCAGAGAAAAGGATACTACTTCCCTCCAGAAGGGCTAAAATTCTAGCAGAAAACTTCTAATCAAAACAGCATGAGCCAGAATATGATAGAAAAGCATTCCAACAGCAAATTGAGAATTCTATCCTGGAGAAAATACCTCTCAAAAATGAAAAATTTTAATCTTTTTGAGACTAAAAAAAAATGGAGGAAGTTTTCTACCACAGGCCATTACTAGAAAATATATTAAGAGATGTATTTTGGTGAACAACAAAATGACTGATGTACAAAAAAAATGAAAGTAACTGATTTCAATGCAACAGCAAGCATGTCATGGGCCCTTTAAAAGCTGAGAGAAGATGCTTTTCTTTGTCAACAGAAAGGAGAGGGGAAAGGAAAGGAGAGGAGAGGAAGGGAGGGGGGAGAGGGGAGGAGAGGGGAGAAGAGAAGAAGAGGAAAAAGACGGATAATCAAATGGAGGGAAGGACAGGCCAAAGGGTGAAAATACCCGGGACAGTATGTGGGAGTTACCACAGACCCTTGAAGCAAGCATTGCCCCCCTGATTCTGTCCCCCTAGAGTGTCTGGTGGGCACCATAGGGGGTGGGAGGCCGAGGAAAGTAGGGAAGGAGCATCATTATGTGGGCCTTGGTGGTGAGGGGTGACTAGCATCCTGGGCAGTCTGAAGGCCTGGGAAGCACTTCTGCCCATCATCACTCATCAGAGCCTGCCAGGCCCTGAGCAGGACAAACTTACCAGGGATATTGTGGGTCCAAGTGAGATCAAGCATGAAAGGAACTGGGAATTCACAAAATGAGATGGTATCCCCAAAAGACACCCACAGGAGGTGTCATATTTTTAAACAAATAACAGAAGGTTTTGGTACTCCAGCAGCCAATAGGCACCCATGATACCCAGGGCAGGTGCTCTAACATCTCAAGGTACCCCAAGACTCAGGAGGCATCCCAACCTCAGATAGGCGCTTCAGAAGGTAGATAAGCACCCCAGTATCTAGACAGATGCCCAGAATCCTGATAAACATCCCCCACATCAAGGCAAGTGCCCTCAACACCCAAACAGGTGCTCCGGCACCCAGACACGCATCCCAGTGTGTGCACACAGGGACACCTCTGGAGTCAAGGTGGTGGGGTAGCGTCTTACTGAACCAGTAAGTAGTACTGCTGGGTCAGATCATTCCACTCTTCCTCAGACAAGGCATCAGTGCTGGTCTCTGATGCGTCGATGTCCTCATGCTCCAGCTGGCCCAGGTAGGCCTGGCACACCTTGCAGGCTGTGTCCACAAGCTGTCCCGAGAGGCCTTGGAACTTGAGGTCAGTATTATCAGGATCTGGAATTCAGAGCACAGGCACCGAGTGTAGCCCCCACCCAGGGCACAGAGGCTGCCTCCCATTCCTACCACCTCTCCCTTGGGAGAGACTTGTCAAAGCCACTGTACAGCAGCATCACTCCTGCCACCAGGAGCTCGTACTCTGAAACTGGACTTGGATGTCATGGTAGAGAGGAGATAGTACTTTTGAAGTGTCACAAAAAGCATGTTTTCTGCTCACACACTCTGCGACCAGACCTGTACTGCTCTGATACCTGTGAGCACTTTGAGCTGCTATGATGGCCAATTCCTATTGCTACAGAGCCTCCTGCACTGCATGCACTGGGGGCATTGGTGGGTCCTGGCACCTGAACCCTTATACAGTGTCTTGCCCCTTCTCAAGCCCATGATTCAGGAGCACTGTTGAGTCTCAGGAAGTACAGCCTGTAAGTGGCCTCAAGAATGTGGCCAGCAGGCTGAGACCCCTTCCTAGCCAGGCTGCCCAGGGAGGTAGCGAGATTGCAGCATAGATGTGGAACGGCTAGGGGGGGCTCCAGGCACAGTGCTGGTAGAGACATGGCACCGGGGAGTGTTGTGATGGGCACAGGCTCACTGAGCATGCCGCAAAGCAAGGGCAGTAAGTTTATGTGGCAGTTTCAGAGAGTACAATGGGCATGTGAAATTCACAGAACGTAAACCAACCATGTAAAAGCCAATGTGGCACTTCCGGCTTCAACGTGTTTAAGTCAAAAGTTGAGCTAAACAAGGAACAGTTTCTGATCTTCCAAAGAAGTGAGGTCAAAGACAAAAAGCAATGTCCCCAAAATTAGAGAGAGAGAGAGAGAACAACAAATGCAGAGAAAACAGCAACCATGGCAGCTGTCAATCTCACTCCATCAATAATCACCTTCAACACCGATGGCCTACACGCACCAGTTAGAAGATGGCCAGGGTAGATTAAACAAGACACAACTATTTTCTCTAAGAAACTTCCATGAAAACTAAGCTACCTTAGATTAAAAATAAAGATATGGGAGAAGATACACCATGCAAACATCAATCAAAAGAAAAGTCAAAAAGCTGTGTTATCATCAGGCAAAGCAAACTACAGAGCAAGGGGAATGATCAGGGATAAAAGGAGCTTTATATGATGAAAAAGAGTCAGTTCCCCAGAAACATGTAGCAATCACTAATATACATATACCTAACAACAGAGCTTCAAAACAGCAAAAAACTGACACAGCTCAAAAGACAAACCGAAATACACCACAACCATAGAAAGAGACTTCAATACCCCTATATCAGAAATGGCCAGGTCCGGATGGGCCTGTGGCTCAGGCCTGCCATCTCAGCTACACAAGAGGCCGAGGTGGACTGATCACAAGTTTAAGGCTTGCTTGGTTACAGAGTGAACTCAAGATCAGCCTAAGTAACTAAGCGTCTGTCTCAACATTTAATGAGGGCCTGGGCTGTAAGTGTTAAGATACTTGCCCGGTATATGTGAGGCCCTGGGTTTAATCCACAGCACTACAGAGAAAAGGAAAAATTAAAAAAGGAGAGAGAAGGAACAAGTGGTTAGATCTAGATGAGTTCAAGGCTAGGCTGGGAAGTGGGGGAAGAGGCAGCAGGTAGAGACAGCAGAACTCAACAGCGCCATCTGTCAACTGGATGTAACCGATGTCACATGCCACTACATCTGCAAACAGCGGCATACTCATGCTCTTCAAGAAAGATCTCAGTCTGGCCATAAAACACATGTCAGCACAGTCAAAAGGACACATCCCCTCTGAATCATAACATGTCCCCTCTGAAACTATGATGGGGTTACAAGTAGAAATCAAGAAAAAGAGCTGGTCTACAGAGTGAGACCCAGGATAGCCAGGGCTAGACAGTGAGGGTCTGTCTCAATAATAGTAATAACACACAGGATAGAGAAAAAAACATAAGAAAATTTAAACTGTCTTCAATTAGATGAAAATGGAATCACAACTTACAAAATTTGTGGGGTGGCCCCGGAGCAGTGCTTAGAATATTTATATCGGTGACTGCTTATAAAATTAGAAATCTAGCCAGAAAGTGAGAAAAAGAAAAACTCAAAGTAAACTGAAGAAAATAAATAATAAAATTAGGGTAGAAAGTAAAAAACAGGAAAATACTAGGAAAAACTAATAAGCCCTATGGTGGTTTGAAATAAAATGACCCTCATAGGCTCATAGGGAGTGGCACTATTAGGAGGTGTGACCTTGTTGGAGTAGGTGTGGCCTTTTTGGAGGAAGTGTATTACTAGGGGCAGGCTTTGAGGTCTCAGATGCTCATGTCAGGCCCAATGTGGCACTGTTACTTCCTGCTGCCTTCAGATTCAAATGTAGAACTCTTAGCTACCTCTCCAGCACCATGCCTGCCTGTACACCACAGTGTGTACCACCATGAAGATAATGGACTAAACCTCTGAACTGTAAGCCAGTCCCAATTAAATGCTTTCCTTTATAAGAGTTGCAGTGGTCATGGCATCTCTTCATAGCAACAAAAACTGTGGTGGTTTGAAAGAAAATGGCCCCCAAAGGGAGTGGCACTATTAGGAGGTGTGGCTTTATTGGAGTAGATATCCTTGTTGGAGGAAGTGTGTCACTGAGGAGGTGGGCTTTAAGATCTCATATATGTTCAAGCTTCACTCAGTGTGATACTCAGACCACTTCCTGTTGCATGTAAGATATAGGGCTCTCAGCTACTTCTCCATCACCATGTCTGCCTGCATGCTACCATGTCCCACCATGATGATAATGGACTGAACCTCTGAATTGTAAGCGAGGCACCCCAATTAAATGTTTTCACTCATAAGAGTTGCTGTGGTCATGATGTCTCTTTACAGCAATAAAAACCCCAATTAAGACAGAAGTCCTAACTAAGACAAGCCCTAAATCTATATTTTTGAAAAGAACAATACAATGAACTAATCCCTAGCCAGGTTAAGAAAAAGAGAGAAGACACAAATTACTAATATTGGAATTGAGAGAGGGGACATCACTATAGACACCCCCTCATCACTGTTTTTCAGTATTGTAGTAGACAGTCTAACAAATGTAATAAGACACAAGAAAAAGAAATAAAATGTATAGAGATTGGAAAGGAACAAGGCTGTCTTTAGTCACAGACAATAGGATCATCTTTGTAGAAAAATACAAAAGATTTAACAGAATCCTGGAAGTACATGTGGCTACAGTCTGTCAATTTCCTATATAGTGAACAACTGGAATTTGAAATTAAAAAAAATTCCATTTACATTAGACCCATGGTGTGTGTGTGTGTGTGTGTGTGTGTGTGTGTGTGTGTGTGTGTGTGTGTGTGTGTTTGAGACAGAGTTTCTCTGTGTAGCCCTGGCTGTTCTGGAACTCACTCTGTAGAACTGGCTGGTCTAGAACTCAAGAGAGATCCGCCTGCCTCTGCCTCCCAAGTGCTGGGATTAAAGGCGTGCACCACCATTGCCAGGCTGAAAATATAATTCTTAAGTAAAAATAAATATATTTTAGAAAACATAAATAAGCATAAGACCTATATGAGGAAAACTTCAAACTCTTATAAATGATATTGAAGAGAGTTATTAAGTAAACAGTCAGGAAAGACCCAGTGTGAAAATGTCCATTCTCCCTGACCTCGTCTAAGCACAATCACAAATCACAGAAAGATACTTTGAGAATGTTGACAAGTGGATTCTAAAGTCTAAGACCAGATTGCTCATTATGTACCAAAGGAGAAGAACAAAGTTGGAAGACTCAAGACTTAACTAACATCTGCAGGAATTGAAACAGTATGGTGTTGCTGTAAGAATACAGAGATTATGGACTATGGAATAGAATGGAGCCCCTTCCTGAAGAAGACACGCACAGATCTGGTCAACTCATACGTGAATACAAAGGAATAAAGCAATGCACTCAAGATGTCTGCTCAACTAATGGTGCTGGACACCGATGGGGCAAAAAGTGAATGTAGTGATGGGCGGTGCTGGAAAAATGGCTTAGTGGGTTAGGGCCTATATTGCTCTTGAAGAGGACCAGAGTTTGGCTACCAGAACCTGTGTCAGGAGACTCACAGCTGCCTGAAACTCCAGCTCCAGATCAGAGAAGCACTTCTAGCCTCTGTGGGCACCTGCACCCATGTACGTGTACACACACACACACACACACACACACACACACACACACACACACACACCATACACACACTTAAAAATAATAAAAATAAATCTTTAAAGAAAAATAACAAAGCAAAACCAAATCTAGATACAGATCTCAACTTCAAGAAAGTTCCAAGAGGAGAATAAGTCTATCTGGAAGACGAGAAGTCACAAGACTCTTGGATGAAAAACATAGAAGAAATGCAGGGGAATCTTGAGCTTTCTGTTGTCTGCTTCAGATACGACACTGAAGGCGTGATCCACAAAGAGATCATTGGTAAGCTAACCACTAAAATTCTAAAACTGAAAGTGTCTGCTGTGTGGCCGTGAGACTCAGAGAAGAACCAGAAGCATCAGTGTGTCTTCTCTACGCCTGTTTGACCACCCAAGCAACAATGCCCAACCTGTCCATCAACCAGAGAGACTCCGCCTCACCAGCGAAAGACCTGTACTGTTGACCAGACACCCCACCCCATTAGGCACAAAAGCCGCGTACCTTTTTGGGGGCTGGGCTCTTCGTTTTTGGCCTCCTCCTTCTTACTCTTGCCCTTGATTTTACAGTAGTAACTCTGGTGGCTGACTACCCATTTGAGGATGCTGGAAGCCACTGTGCGCCGAAAGTCATCTGGAAGGACACCAAGGCCTCGCTCCCACTGCCCACCCAGAGCAGAGAGGCAGCAGAGCATGCCACATGGGTCTCCCTGCCACCTTCAACCGGTGCTTCCATACTTTCCCCCAGCTGTTCACCCACCTGTCCACACCCAGTCCCGACAGCTCCTCCTCCTAGCCACTGCTCTCCCCTTCTCCTCCTCCATTCTCTGTTGTTACTGCCTCACAACACCTCAGAGACCTGAGGGATATTCCCAGGAGTCCCCTTGCTATAATGCTGGGACCCTTTGAGGTATCTAAGGGGTCTCTCTGGACCAGACCCATCTAGACCATCTAGAATGTAGCCCTCCTCTACTGAAGGGGTCTTGCTTGCACTCACCCAGCACATAAGCAGAGCAGCATAGCTGTACATTCTGCAGACCTAGGCTCGAGGTGAGCCCAGGCTCTGAGCAGCAGGGTGTCCACACAGAGATTGGAAGTCGGTGGTGATGCTCTGAGCCAGTGCTGCTGGAGGCCTCCTGTGCTCCCTCAGAGCCAAGATCTGAATACTTAAGGTCTACAGCTTCTGTCAGCCTCAGGTGCCTCCTTCCACACTGCCAACATTGCCTAGGTCTGGGCTGGCCCTTACTAAATGGACCAGAGATTGTCATCATGGCCCTAGGGAAGTGTGGTGTGGTGCCCCAGAAAACCGCTGGTCACTCACCCAAGAATTCCTGCTTCTCGCTCTCTGTGCAGAGGCCATAGCAACGTGGGAAGAAGGTGTTGGGGTTGGCCTGGACGTACCAAGGCAGGCTCCTCATGTTCAAACACAGTCCAATCTCCAGAGAGAATAGTGCATTGGGAACCTCAGTGGGCAGCCTCACATAAAGTGAACTCCACTGGGGACCCATGGTTGACTTGACCCATGTTCCCTAGGAACGGGGCTTCCATGGCACTGAGAGTACCCAGAGAGGGAAGAACAGGGGTGCAGGTGGGCATAGGGGATAGGAGACAGTGGGTGTTTTGAGGAGGAGCCAAAATCTGCAGTCCCTCTGGTTCTCCCAGTTGGGGATGGCCCACCCACTCTGACTAAGCCCCAGGTCCTCCCATCCACCTTGGTGGTGAACGATGCTGTCTTCCCATAGTGGTTCAGCATCTGGTCACAGGTCAGGCTGTGATAGTCCACAACGTCCCTCTTGATAGTCCAGAGGAGGTATGGCATCTCGTTCTTTACCAACCTGGACTGGCAAGAAGAGCCCTCTTATCAACATCCAGCATTCAGAGATCTATTCCTCTGAGGTGCTGGGACACAGCTGAGAGCTGGGGTGGGGGCACAGAAGTGAGACTGTACTCTGATTATTATGGCTGACGGTTCCATTTTAGCTGAGGTTACATGACTCCTGAGGGCTACACGTGTTGGGATGGGGACAACCCCAACCACATGGGGTTTCTGCTGCCCAGAAGCCAGCTGCTTTTTTCTCCACTTGGGGCTGAAGATGAACTTGAACTCTTCCTATCCTGGTATCTATGTGGGACTTAGAGATGTGCTATCCGCTGGCTGGAGGTGAATGTGGTGCTCTGGGATACAGGAGTGTGTTCCAGAGGAAGCTTGCTCCCAGAACCCCTAGGAAGCACCTTCTAGGAGGCAGCTTCCTTCCACTGTACAGAGCAGGGGAAGGTCCCAGATTCTGGTACTTACAGCAGAATAAATTAGACTAAGGGCACAGCCAGCTATAAAAATGGAATGCGCCAGGCGGTGGTGGCACACGCCTTTAATCCCAGCACTCAGGAGGCAGAGCCAGGAGGATCTCTGTGAGTTTGAGGCTAGCCTGGTCTAAACAGTGAGATTCAGGATAGGCACCAAAACTACACAGAGAAACCCTGTCTCGAAAAATCAAAAACGAAAAAGAAAGAAAGAAAGAAAGAAGGAAAGAAAGAAAGAAAAAAAGGAATTAGCTCCATAAACCTAATGTGCTTACTGACCACCTGTGAGCTAATTCTCTGACAATCCTATCTGTCTGTCTATCTATCTATCCATCCATCCATCCATCTATCTATCTAAGCACTGATCTATGAACTCTCACACACAGACATTCTGGATCTCTGATCTTGTAAATTACATGTGTGGCAAAGCCTTCCTCCCTGCGATTAACCTTTCTGTCCTCTTTATAGAAGATATAGTAGAGCTTTGGAGGAGCCAGGCTAGGGGTAACAGGGGTACAGCTGCTGCATTACTGGAGACCCCATGTTCACTGGCAAGGCCCTTTCTGACTCCAACCTGTAATGCATGGACCCCCCAACCACTCAGCACCTCATTGTCCACAGTCACACAGGTCTTTGCTCGTGCTAGTCAGTGTGGAATGCAGAAGCTAGAAACAGGATACAGGAAAGCCAGATGCCCAATGTTTCCATTCAGGAGTCTCACTCCACCCTCTATGTAGTGTGCTCTTCCTTAGAAAGGCCATGGTATATCCCAATACCAGGCCACAGGGCCTACCATCACATCATGGATATCATCTAATCTTTCCAAGGGTACTTCTTGATTTTCTTTGGTCTCTGCATTTTTATTATCTGCAAGCAAAACACAAAGAGACATTGCTGCCACTGTATTCAAGTCCCTCACCAGACTCCCTGTAGTGCTGGGGTCCCGCTATGGATGGATGACCACTTGTCTACTAGAAGCTCCCAGGACAGGCTTCCCCTGGGGCAGTAGGTAATCTTTGAGGGCTATGCTATAGAGGTCACATATGCCCATTCCCTCCAGCATCCTGTGCAGCATCCCACGTAGGCTGTGATAGGTCAGGATTGAAGGGGTGCTGCAAATTAGATGACCCTCAGTAGATGCTATGGCATGAGTCTGGAGAGGACCAGCTTGAATTATGGGAACTTGAGGAATGGCCTTGATGGAGAAAGGAGCTGGAGGAAGAACAGCTAGGGCTGAATGTAGACATGGGGACACTTAACAGCAACGTACTATGGTAGGAGTGTGGCTGCCTGGCATGTGTGAATTTGGGAGGGTGGTGGAGACATGAAGACAGATGCCAGTGAGTATGTGGAATCACCACACCTAGGATGGCAGACTTATTGGCCATATATACAAAACCCTACATGGGACAAGGCAAGTCTGATACTCCACCCATGTGCCCTTTACCTTCGCCTTCAACATTCTGAAGAACTTTGGGCAAGAAATGAAACTTCTTCTCCACCCAGCCCTTTCTTCGCAGTGTGGCTCGGATGACAGGGTAGTGTCCATAGATGGAGAAAATCTTCTTTTCCTAAAAACAGCAGTGTTTTAACAGAAGCACTCAGCAACGAGGGAATTGAGTCAACCTGAGATGAGTTTCCAAAGGAGGACGGAACAGGCTACACCATGGGAAGACAGCACGCTTCGCCCAGAGAGCACAGGAATGTCTTCAGCAATCAGAAGGGTGTGGGTGAGTGCTTGTGTGTACACGTGTGTGCACATGTTGGGGTTCCACAGTTGCTGTTTATGGGTATCTATCGTTGGGTCAGGATTACAGAGGTAGTCATCTTTACACACTCCTTCGCACACTCAAGACACAAAAAGGAGGCCAAAACACAACCGAGCAAGCCAATACTTCCTGAGCAGCTGTCTTAGTGGCCCCCACTCAGGATTTCTGGACTTGGAATAAAGGTGGAATACACAGCTACGCAATGCCTGCAGGTCTAGAGAGTAACCGAGAGACTCCCCATGTGCCTCTCTTTTACACAGACGTGAGAATCCTGGATGGCTTCATGTCACCTTACACAAGCTAGAGTCATTTGAGAAGAGGAACCTCCATTGAGAAAATGCCCCCACCAGATTGGCCCAGGGAGGTGTTCTCTTGATTGACAACAGATGTGGGAGGGTCCAGCCCACTGTAGGTAGTGCTACCCTTTGGCAGGTGGTCCTGAGTTGTATAAGAAAGCAGGCTGAGCAAGCCATAGGAGCAAGCCAGTGAGGAGTATGCCTCTGCTTCAGTACCTGCCCCCAGGTTCCTGCTTTGAGTTCCTGCCCTGACTTACCGACCTGATGGTCTACAAGCCTGGAACATGAAGTAAATCCTTGCCTCTCCAAGTTGTTTTTAGTCATGGGGTCTTATCACAGCAAAAGAAACACTTGAGCCTCATATTTATAAGAGCTGTGGCTGCCTGAGGTAGACAAGGCAGAAAGGGAGAAACTGATGGGTAACTGGCGGAAGGGGCAGGGCCGGCTCAGAAGCTGCTGGAATCCTGAGTCATCACTTCGGAGATGGTTAGCTGCATGTGGATGAGCAGGTGGGTGGCAGCTAGCAGGAGGACTGAGCTGTACTACCTCAGTCTTCCTGGCAGAGGACAAGGTCATCAGGGAAGGACTTGCCATTGATAGGACTTGATCCTGACTTGTCCCCAACAGGCTCACGTGCTTGAGGCAAGGTCACCACATGGGGGTAGAGTGGGGATGTGCCCTAAATGTGAGCTATCTCTCACACAGTGAGCAGCTGTAAAAGAGTGAGCCAAGTCTCCACCTCTCTCTGGTCTCCTCTATCAAATGTGTTTTCCCTCCCACAGGCATGCCTACGATGATGCCATCTGCCACTTACGCGACACAGCCAAACAGGTGGAGCCGCTCAAGCTCTGGCTTTCGGCCCTTAAAGCTGGGTGGCAAATAAAAATTTTTTTTTTCTTAATAAAGTATGCAGCTGCAGGTATTTTATGTAGCCACAGAAAAGAAGCTGATATTCATGTTGGTCTCCCCAGGCCACCTGCTAGGTGAAGGCAGTGACATGGCCTGTACTCAGTCACTAGCAGACTCAGGGATGAGCAGAGCCAGCTGGGGTCAGGCAGGAGGAGTGGCCCCAGGGCCACTGAAGTCCTGCAGCAGACATAGAGACCTGATAGATCATTAATGCAGGACACCCTCCCTGGGCTCTAACCAGCAAGGTGACAGGACATCAAACCACAATCACTGACATCATCCCACAGATGTGACAGGGTTTTGCAAATGTCGTTGAGGTCCTAAATCAGTGACTCTGATGAAAAAGCAGTCAGTCTCTGGGGGGGGGGGGGGCTAACTTCGTCACGGAGTCCCTAACAGAGACTTGAAGCTCAGAATGTCCCCCACTGAGGGGGGTTGTAAAAACACCACAGGGGAGGGATTCTGCTGATTCTCAAAGAGCTGAAATCAGAGCCACTCAGGAAGTCAGCACAGGCAGACTGAGATCTTGGTCAGGACACCAAGCTACTGCCAAAGCCCAGAATCTGTCACAGAGACAGCAAACAGAGGTAAGTTGAGCCCAGAGCCCATCACAAACAGAGACCTTATCACAGAGACTCAAGACAGAAACACAGGCTGAGCTCAGATTCCATCACAGAGACATGAGCAGAGACAAGCTGAGCCTAGACCCTGTCACACTGTAGTGCTGGGTTGGTTTTGTTGGTGGGTTTGTGTGTGTGTGTGTGTGTGTGTGTGTGTGTGTGTGTGTGTGTGTGTGTGTGTGTGTGTGTGTTCTGCATCCCATATGGGTCAAAGGTAATTTTATTTATTTACTTTTCCCCAACATAATATTTGATTGATCATTTGGGAATTTCACATAATGCACCCCATCACACTCACTTCCCAGTCCTCCCAGGTCCGCCCCCACCCTTGAGACCCTCAAGAAAAACAAGTCCAACTTGTGTTGCCCATATACTCACTGGAGTATGGTCAAACTTCCAGTGGCCAGCCCCTTAAAGAAAACTGAGTCCTTCCCCACCCCCACCCCCGCCAGAAGCCATCAGTTGTGGAGAGCGACACTTCAGCATCCTTATCACAATTTTTAACAGTTCTCTTTGATGGCTTCCTGTCTAGGCTGTCACTTTTTTAGGGGGCTGGGAGTGGGATAGGGGTCATCACAGAAATCTTCTATGTCCCTCTTTCTCAACTGTGAGTCTGTAGTCAGTCATTGATACTGCTGCAAAAGTTGCTTCCTTGCCCTTTACAGTCAACGGGAGCATGGATCATGGACCTCCATATGACTCCTGGCATCAGCATGTGCCATGGACCTCAGCATGGTCTCTGGTGGCAGCACAGACCACAAACATCAACATGGCTTCTAGAAGGAACACAGACTATGGACATCAGCATGGCCTCCAGCTGCAGGACAGACCATGGACCTCAACATGGCCGCCGGCCGCAGCATGGGCCACAGACACCATCGTGGTCCTTGGTGGCAGCACTGACCACAGACATCAACATGGCCTCCAGTGGCAACATGGCCCACAGACATTGACATGGCTTCAGGTGGCCGCTGTGGTGCTGTTTTCTATGGATAAGTCTGTGCTGCTAGGCAACACACCTAACCTTATCCCACTGGAAGATCTGACCCTACCCAGGAGCATGTTCAGGAGATACCTGGAGCTAAGTCCTGGTACCTAGAGGAGATATATGGGTCAGAGGGCCCCACCAAATTGCCTTTCAGGGGGAACGTCATCTGAATGCCCACCACCCATACATGTCTGTCTAAGTTCACAGGGCACAAGAAGCTGGCAACAGGGGCTGTACAAAAACTCAGACGAAGTCAAAAGTGATATTGGCATCGTCTCCTTTACGGCAGGAAGTCATCCAGTCAGGCCAATATATAAATAAAATTCCAAAATAATTTCCCATTGTTTTAAACACTACCCCCACCCGTGAGTCCCCAAACCCATTTACCTTGATGGCTTTTTCTGTTAATTGTCTTGCTATTTTGTATCTGTCTAATTTGGGGGAAGAAGACAAATCTTGGGGAAGTCCTTGTTTTAATTCTGCAAAAGAGAAGCAGACATCCAGGCAAAGGAGAGGACGGGTGGATCAGAACATCACTGCAACCTGACAGCGGACACACAGGGAGGCCTCATCTCCACCTGCCTCTGCCCACTCAGTGTCTGCCTGTCCTCCACTCTCCTCAGGTTCCATGGCCTCTGCCCACCCTGCCTGCCCTGCCCGCCCCCTGTAGTTCTCAGCCTTCTATATACCCTTGCTACCTTTTGAGCGTCTTTGGCCCACCCTCACCCCAAGTGCTCCCCCCCCCCCCCCGCTCCGCCTGCCCCAGGCCACTCTGGCATTGGGTAGTCTTGGTTTGTTTGACTGATTGAGTTTTAGACAGAATCCCTCTATATAGCCCTCCCTGGTTGTCCTGGAAGTTACTCTGTAGGCCAGGCTGGCCTCAAAATCACAGAGATGCACCTGTCTCTGCCTCCCGAGTGCTGGGACTAAAGGTGTGCGCCGCCATACCTGTCCTGCATTGGGTAGTCTTGATCCTCTCTAGATGTGTCTAAGGTGTGGTGAGAGAACATACAGCCTCCCACTCTCTCCACCTGAGTCCATGGCTTTTATTCAGTGGCTATCCTCCCTCCTACCTGGAGGAAAGGCCCCCACTGTCTCCCTCTTCTCTGGATGGCCTCCCTGACACCAACTTGCCCCGTGGCAACCTTTCGATGCCAATCATTCCCGTAGGCACACACCAGACACTGCAGTGCCCCAGGCCTCTCTAGTCTCTGCCTCCCCCTATCTGCTGGGTTCCCACAGGAACCCATGCCTGCAGGGTGCACTGAGTCTTCCCTTCAGGCAGCACAGGCCCTTGGCTGACCAGCATTCCCCTCCTCGTACCCCTCATTGCTTCCCCTTCTCTCCTCTCTCCAAGCCCTAAATGTGGAGTCGTGTGTGTATGTGTGTGTGTGTGTGTGTGTGTGTGTGTGTGTGTGTGTGTGTGTGTGTGTTTTCAAGACATGGTTTCTCTGTATAACAGCTGTGTCTGTCCTGGAACTCGCTTTGTAGACCAGGCTGACCTCGAACTCAGAGATCCGCCTGCCTCTGCCTCCCAAGTGCTGGGATTAAAGGCGTGCGCCACCACATCTGGCTAAATGTAGAGTCTTCATAGTACATTTCTACTGTTTCCCCAAAATGTACAGATTCCTCCCAGACTACTCTGACCCCCAGTGCTCCTGCAGTGCCCTGGACCCCCCAAGGAGCTTCAGGAAACATCAGTCCCATCCTGTCTACCTGATCTTCCTGTGGCTCTCTTCACCCTAAATCCACAGGTACCAGAGACATGGACTTCAACTAAAGCACAAATCAACTGGGGGGGGGGGGGGGGGCGTGGCTAAGAACTGTACGTCCACGCAGAAAGGGCAAGTCCTATCTGCCACCTGACAAGATGCCCAGAATTCATTCTGAAGCATGTGAAAGCCACACCAAACTCCTAGCAGGAGGAAAAGCATCACAACCTCACCTAGGCAAAAATTCTCAGATGGCACACACAGAAAATAAAAGTTGGGCTTGGTAAGTTGGGAACTGTCAAAATTAGAATGTTCGGGGGCTGGGGCTGTAGTTCAATTGGTAAAGTGCTTCCCTGGCAAGCATGAGAATGTGAGTCCCATGAGCAGCCCTGATGTATAAAGCGATGCACAGTGTCCATGCATTTGCAATTCCACTGGGAAGGTGGAGACAAGGGGATCCATGGGGCTTGCTGGCCAGCTTGTCTAGCCTATCAAGTGAGTCCCAAGTCCCAGGGAGAGACCTTGCCTCAAAACAAGGTGGATGACTCCTGAGGAATGATACCCAAGGTTGAACTCTGGCCTTTGCACATGTGTGATGTGCACATGAATGTGGACACAAGCATACGTAGCACAAAAATTAAAATGTTCTGCTTCATTAAGAAAATGAAAAGGTAAACCACAGACTGGGAGCAACATTTACAAATACACCACTTGGACACAAAAAGGTAGAGAGTGATGGACTCCATGTAGAGAAGCCCTGACCAGAGCTGGCAAAAGAAGACCTCTATAAAAGTGAAGACCAGAATAGAGGATAGAGGTGCATAGGAAGGGGTGTGAGGAGAGCAAGTCCGTAAAGATGGTCAAATACTAATGCCTCCAAATGCAAAGAGCAGCGGTTATCAAACAAGAAGAAACCATTAAATCTGTAGTCATAGAGTTAGTGCATGGCTTTCAGCAGTGGACGGAATGGACAAAGAGGCCAGTGGGAATACACATGACCAGCAGGATACCCTCCCTGGGCTCAAACCAGCAAGGTGACAGGACATCAAACCACAATCATTGGCATCATCCCACAGATGTGACAGGGTTTTGCAAATGTCGTTGAGGTCCTAAATCAGTGACTCTGATGAAAAAGCAGTCAATCTCTGGGGGGGGCTAACCTCATCTGGAAGTCAGCACAGCCAGCCTGAGTGAGATCTTGGTCAGGACACCAAGCTACTGTCAAAGCCCAGACTCTATCGCAGAGACTGACACATTCATTATTATTCTAGAATAGTCATTAAAGTTGGTCTTAAAGAAACTCTAGGCTAATTTCAAAGAGTTTGGAAGTCATAAAAATTCTCCTGGCCACAGAGCAATTAAGTCAGAAATCAGTATAAAAATAACAGAAAGCAGCTGGGCGGTGGTGGCTACAGAGTGAGTTCCAGGAAAGGCGCAAAGCTACACAGAGAAACCCTGTCTTGAAAAACTAAAAAAAAAAAAACAAAAAAAACCTTAAAAAAAAATAACAGAAAACTACTGAATATGTGTAGATTAGCAAATGTACTTTTTTTTTTTTTTTTTTTGGTTTTTCGAGACAGGGTTTCTCTGTGTAGCTTTGCGCCTTTTCCTGGAACTCACTTGGTAGCCTAGGCTGGCCTCGAACTCACAGAGATCCGCCTGGCTCTGCCTCCCAAGTGCTAGGATTAAAGGTGTGCGCCACCACCGCCCGGCCAAATGTACTTTTAAATAACCAGCGGGTAAGGAAAAAATTCAAGATGTGAAGTCTTTTACTTGTTTAACCAAAGACAACTAAAATACCAAATTTCAAATCTGGTGTAATATAGTTAAAGCTGTGTCTACAAAGAAATTCCCAGGGCTGGAGAGATGGCTCAGTGGTTAAGAGCACTGCTCTTCCAAAGAACCCAGGTTCAATTCTCAGTACCCACATGGCATGGCTGTTCTTCCAAAGGACCCGGGTTCAATTCCCAGCACCTGCATGGCAGCTCACAATTGTAACTCTGGCTCCAGAGGATTCCACATTCTCACATGTTGTGTGATATTTTGATTGTATTCTGACAAATAAAGCTTGCTTGGAGTCAGAGGGTGGGGCCAGTCACTAGTTAACCAAAATTAACCAGAGAGGTTTGGAGGACTGGAGACAGAGAGGAGACAGGAAGTAGTAAAGCGGGGCTTAGAAAGGATCTCAGGCCCCTTTTGGTCAGAGGAATCAGAGAGGTAGGGAGAACTGGCGGCTGTTCCCTGTACTCTGATCTTTCAGGTTCTTACCCTAATATTTGACTCCCAATTTTTTATTGATAAAGATTAATTAGATTAACGCTTCACTCACACAGACAGACATGCAGACAGAACATCAATACACATAAGATAAAGAAATCATTTAAAAAAAAAGAAGTTCCAAGTTGTATATACACCTATTAGAAAATAATAAAGGCTTAAAGCACTGATTCAAAGCTGGGTGTAGTGTCACACGTCTGTAATCCCAACACTTGAGACTTGGAATTGCTGGAAAATACGGAGTTGAAATGCAATCTTGGCTCCAGGAGTTCCAAGGCAGGTGAGATACATAAGACACTGTCTTAAGGAACCAAAACCAAACAAAAAACAACGATTTAAGCATACATCTCAGGAAGCTGGAAGAACACAGTAAATGTAATCTCAAAGGAACTATTAAAGGGGACAGACATTAACGAAATATTTTCAATACAATAAGTCAGATTGACCAAGCCAAAGGCTTAAGACTGGTAAAATTCATAACTCATTGGTGAGATTTGTTAATTAAAAAGATGGGAAGTGGGTAGAGAGAGAGTCCAGAGGTTCAGGGCACATACTGCTCTTGGAGAGGACCTAAGTTTGGTTCCTAGTACCCATGTCAGATGGCTCACGACTGCCTGATACTTCAGCTACTCTGGCCTCTACTGGAACCTGCATTCATGAGCACATACCAACCCACAGATATATTTAAAAATAAATCTTCTTTTACAAGAAGATGAAAGGCATACAACGTAGCAACAGGGCAGGAGAATTCCTTAGATATTTAAAAACTAAGAGGTGTGAGTTAAAGTTCCCCAAAGACAGAGAGGAGGGGTGTGGGTGGGGGGGACTGAACCTGTGTTAGAGATGCTACAAAGCCAAATGACTGAACTTAGAGATATGGAGAGTTAAGAGTTAAAAAGTTGCAGGCCAGAGCCTAATTATCTTGGGCTATTTTTAGTCCTTGGAATGACATTTGTTGCCCACATGTATCTGACCTAACATCCTTGTGATTACCAAACCTTTAAAATATATTCTTAGCAGACCACTAGCCGCCATCAATCCAAATCTAAAAATATCATCAGGTGTCATTTGAAACTGTGGCAGAGTTCTCCATGCTTTGCTGTCTGTCATCTGCCTACCCATGGCCTGACGCCTCAATCTAGGACTGTCTTTGTTTTGTAACTAGTAGTCTTTCATGCAACTGCTTCCACTGAGGATCATGGGATTTGAGTTAAGCTAAATCTATATCCTAGTCCATGGTCACTCACATTTGGCTCCAGAATAAACTATCTCCTGTCCCTCTGAGGTAAGGGCTATGTTTGACACTGACAAAGGTGACTATGAACTTCATGGCAATAAACTTGAAATTTAGATAAAATAGCCACATCCCATGGCTCTGAGGTTAAGAGCACTGGCTGCTCTTCCAGAGGTCCTGAGTTAATTCCCAGCACCCACATGGCAGCTCACAACCATCTGAAATTAGATCTGGCACCCTCTTCTGACATGCAAGC